TGCAAATGATGATTGAAAGTAATTGAGAACTGAGTATCTCACTCCCTTAGGTGTCTGAAAATTTTGATCTGCGTAGCAACTCTTTGGTGTTTGCAGTGAAGGACTTCTAAACAGAGAGACTCTTACACTGATGAGTCCTTAAGGATATAGGTAGCTCTATGCAAAAGTCCTGCTGACCTCAGAGTGGCTATTCACTATTAAGTAAATGTATTTGAGGAGTTTGGGAGGGTCTGAGCAGACAGTTCTGAGTTTATGGACACACTGAGCTGTGGAAACCAATCTCTCAGAACAAGCCAGATCGGTTGTAAACAGTCTAATGTTTGTAGATAACATTATTTACCAAATATTAATATTATTTTTGGCTTAAAAGTGATGCTGACATATTTTAAGGAACACTAGGAGCTGTGTGTTGCAGAGCCAGGAAGGGTACAAAAATCTGCTGCCTGAGTGCAAGGCAGGGGCTTGGTTTGGTTTTGCTTTCCCTCAGTGCTTGGTTATTTTAGGATATATATTAGTTTTATTCTTTTTTTGAAAAAGGTATCTAGGATAATATTATTGCTTTTAAAGTTTGGACTTGGTAGGTATTTATTTTTAACTTGGTAACTTAAATTATATTTAGCAGCTTTATACTTACTATATGCTTTAGGTTTATCATTTAACATGCACATTTCTAGTGATGTGGTGTACTTAATTTTTTCCTTATTTCTTTATCTAAATGTTACAACGGTCAAGAATTGTTTCACTGAGCTCTAGTATGTTTGCATAACTCCCTTCCTGCTGTATTTTTTTTTGTTTGTTTTTGGTTTTGTTTTTCATAGAATAGCTTGGCAAACTTGACTGCGTTTTTCACTCTGTATATTCTGTTTGCAGGAACGCAGAGGAAGACAGGCCCAAGTCAAGTGAGGATTTCTTGATAGCTGTGTGAGGGATTACAGCATTGCATCGCATGTATTCTTCCTGAGTCTTCTCTATCCGTCTGCCCCTAATCTGATTTTAAGTCTGGGCTAGTAGGCATGGCTGAGGGTGTAGATTGGAACCTGGATTTGGCTTCAGTCTTAACTGGCAGCACTCCCACCTTGCTGTGACAAAGAGGCTAATTAAACCTACATGCATTTATTTTAACAATACAATCTCACTGTTCTACCTTGTCTGTACTTTTCTTTGTAGTTCCTTGTTGCTTTTTTGTAGTGTAAGTGGCTCAGTCTGACTCAAATTTTAACTTAGTTTCTTCTGAGTTTCCATAATACATGAATAGAGATGTCAACCAAGAAAGGGTACTTTGATTTTTTTGTTGTTGTTGTTGTAGACTATATGCTTTAGTGTTGTTAAAGGTTCCTAATCAAAATTACTTTGTCTTTAGATTGCCTCAGTTGGAATAAACCACTGTTCTGTCATGTCACAAGCAGCACCTTCATGGTAGATCAGGTGAGAAGTGTGTTCCTGAGAACCTGGCTACTGAAATGCCTTAGTTTAGTTGATGTCAGGAACCATACCCTGTCCCAATGCAGGGGATAGTTCAGCATCATAATAAACCCTGTTGGATGTATCAGATGGATGTTAAAATACAGAAGCTCTCTGGATTTGGCTAAATGCAACAATTAATGTTCTCTTTTTTAATTAACATTTTTCAAAATCTTGATTTAATGGTTGAATAATTCATCTCACTGTTCAGCTTATGTGGATAAAAATAGAGGAATGAATGCGAATAATTTCCAGCCAAGTAAAAATTGTACTAAATTGTTTTGTTCCTTTTTATTAAAAAAGCAGAGTTTTAAATTTCTTTTTAAATACAGTAAAACTTGGATTTTTCACTAAGTATATCTGTTGCTTTGGTTTAGTCTGTCAGCAGCTAGTCCTCTATCTTCTAATACTTGCAGAATTTCCAGTGTATGTTCTTGTTTACCAAAACTCAGAACTTCTTTCAAGGGGACTATAAATATTTTAATATGCAGATTTTTTTTTGAGTGGTCTGTGTCAGATGTTGTTGCCATCACTGGCTCCAAGAAATAAGTTAGATTATTGTGTGCTTTGACTTCTGTGTTCATTTGCAAGCAGCTTTCATTTAAAAAAAAAAAAAAAAAAAAGGGAAAAAAAAAGTCAATAATTTGTTTTCCTGTTATAGCCATTTGTTTCTGGAAGATGCAGAAGATGAGTGGCTTGATAAAATGGTGTTGACCAGTTCAGCCGTTAACAATATTATCTTTAAATACATTTAAAATTGTTGTTAGTATCTCTCTGTAGAAAATTATAATTGTAAAGCTACATATCCTGCGGGTGAGTTCTGGAAAAAGATTATTCTTATTCCGATGGACACAGTTTCAGCTGACATGAATCAGATCGGTAAGTGTGTGTGATGGTTAGGACTGTATTTAGGCAAAATAATAATTAGGTTGGTGCGTGGTTCACATTAGTGCTATAGGTTTGGATCCAGAATTACTTAGGTAGGCAGGAGACACTGTATCCAATTCCATAAAGGCAGAGTAAAGAGTAGTGAGCTGTAGGTCGGGCAGGTTGCCGTGTGGAATTCCGTTTTGGGTGTTGACGCTGCTGCTGTTCTCCATCTGACAGTGAGAGGGGAAACACTGGGAAGACGTTGGGGATGATGAAATGAGAACTAGGGGATCCACAGCTAGGCTGTCGTCTTTCAGCTCCTCCCAAAGATTTCCTATAAGAAAGCAAAAGGGATTGATTCAGCTTCCTTTATATATGCTTTTTGAGACATTATTTTACGGGAGAAATTGTAACTTTACAGTTGTGTATACTGTATGTGTAGGTACTTTTAATCATTTCTGATTGAGAAAGGAAAAAAATTGTTTAGATAGATATTATTTGCATAATAAATTTAAATCTGGGAGAAAGTAGCATTAATTTAAGAAAACTATTTCACTTGATAATTGGCAAGATTCTGTTGCAAATGTATTCTTATGAAGCACAACTTCTATTTGAAAAAAGCCACTGATTTTGAAAGGGGAATTTGCCTTTGTTATCTTTAGAAGATATGGAAGAGCTAATGGCATTTTATGGGACAAATCTGCAACTAATATTACTGCACAACTGGACTTCTTGTATTCTTATGGTGTAGGATTCTCTGAATTGCAAACTAAATTATCGGTTATGTGATTGACCTGACAAATTGAAAGACCTGAAATGTTACTTTTTTCTAATGCATACAAAAAGGTTTCTCGTATTTCCGTTGAACGCACGTATCACAATGGAAGCATTAAATAAGTTACTGCAGGAGGGTTGTATTTTCCATATTCATCATTGAATATTTCTTTGGGGGGGTGGGATGAGAGTGGCAGTGAGGGTGTTGCTCCAAAGCTATACACACACCATCTGCAGACTATCAAATGGGATAATATTTAGCTCCTTTGATTTTTTAAAGCCTTTGTTACAATTTTTAAGAAATTTAAAAATAATTTTGTTTTAAATATATGTGTGTGTGTATAATTATTTTGCTCCAAGTGTGCAGGCCTTATCTTAAGTTATAGGACCTCTAATTTGAGATTTGTTAATGTTAGAAAGAAAAAAAGTAAGTAAAAAAGCTTAAATAAATAATTTAAGGTAAAGGGCAAGGACAGAGGGAAGTTGGAATTGTACCATATTGGTGAAGCACACAGAATATCCACAGTACAAATGAGCATGCTCCATGTTAACTGAGTAAAACAGAAAGAGGTTAAGAGAAATGAATGGAATGTGACATCCTGCTGCCAAAAAGAGGAAGAAGCTGAGGATTCAGAAAACTGTGGTGTTAATCTTAGTAAAGCAATCTGAGCATGGCAGGATTGTGGAATATTTGTGACAGTACAAGAGCAAGATGATTGCATTCGCTGAGTCATGTAGATTGTTGAGACTGGTTTTTGCTCTGTCTTTTAGGTGGCTCTGTGTGCCACTTTTTGTCTGCACAGGAAGGCAATTCTTGCACGTTTTTTTGGTGCAGCAAGTTTTATCATTTGGAACCCACAGGTTTTATTTTATATGTATACCCATATAAATGCACACACACACAAACAAACTGTGTGGGATTTTTTTTTTTTTCCTTATTTTTGCATGGAAAGCTATGTTCTTGGTGTTCAAAATCCTGTCCACTCAAGATGATTCAATTATTTAATATAAAAAAGTTTACTATCAGCATTACATGACAAAATATTTAAGAACACGCCTCAGAAAATACAGTTGTTCAGGGCATAGATCATGTGAATGCCTTGTGGAGTAAACAGCATTCTTTTGAGCAGAGATGTGGAAAGTATGTTAATAAATAATGATAAAGAAAAAAATTAACATGTTAATTCAATTAAAATTATTTCTCTTTGTGCTCCTTACACGACAGTTCTCTCGATATGCACCAAATAGTTGTGCTTGAGTAGTTTTCAGTGGAAAATACACCTAAATTTAAAAAATACATTCTAAATACTGTCTTGCAGTATTTACTATAAGCAGTTGTGGTCAAAAGTAAGCAGGTTTTTTTTGTTTGTTTATTTGTTTGTTTGTTTTGTTGTTTTGTTTGGGGTTTTTTTGCTTGGTTTGGTTGTGGTTTTTTTTTTGTTTTTTTTTTTTGTTTTTTTTTTTAAACTCTGAATGAAAATCTGTAGCTTTCCTGGGAAACTTTTCAAAGATACAGTGCAAAATTCCATGCTGTGCAAAATAATGTCACCTAGTAAGCTGGTCTTTGTAGCAGTGGCAAGGGCAAGCAGTTAAAAAAGGTGGCCGTAAATGCCTCTTACGCAGTGTGATGTACTAAGCCTGACCGCTGTGAGATAAAACCGCCTTAGGTACTCACCTTGGAGATCAAAATCAGTCAGGGATGGATTAAGAGCATCGATGTCGTTGCTGAGATCTCCCTCCTGCATGAGCGTGTCCTGCACTGTCCTGGCTGCCGAGTGCTCTGTCAGCAGCTTCCCCCCGCAGCTCGGGGGGGTCTGGGCCGGCACTGGGGAGTCCTGGGCGATGCTGGGCTGGGGTCTGAGCTCGCTTTGAGCCTCCCCAGAAGGAAAGAGGGTCTGAGGGTCAGGCGACTGTTGCATTAACGTACTTGCGATTTGAGGAAAAGCCTGCGGTGATGAATAGCAGGCGGTCTGCTGCCCCCCGAGCAAATTTGGTAAGGGGTTCTTGACCTGGAGGGCTCCCGAGGCGTGGATGCCGTGTAGTGGCGGTGGCACACCCGTGGAGAGGGAGGGCTCGCCCAAGGAGTGGGGTTGGAGTGCCATCTGTCTGGGAAGGGATGCGCCTGCAACGCCAGTGGGACTGCAGGACAGGACTGACGCTCTCAGCTTCTCACTTTTGTCGCCTATCAGGGTGTCAAGTTCTTCTACAAAACAAGAAAAAAAGGCCCATGATTTACTTAGTCCTAACACGGCCTTCATAGTTTGCAGCTAGAATGTTAGTGTTCCTCAGGAAATGGGCGAGTGGAATGGCAAACAAAAGTACTAGCCCATATATAATAAGAACTCCAAAAGCCTGAAATGTTTTTCTGAACTATTAGTGCCGAGTATGTAATAAATTGAATTTTTGTGTTTAATAGTTAGATATTTATCGGTTACTTTCAAATTTATTGTACTTATTTCAGTGTTGTTTTTATCTTAAAGGTTAGTGAGATGTTGAGAGAGAATGTTTTCTTGGTGAAGCTTCTTTGTGCCTATTTGGAAGCACTCCTGCAAAACCAGGTCTTATTTAGTTCTGCTTTTTATATTGTTTTCTTGTTTTGACAATCAATTTATTACCAGGGAAAAGTCTTTAATGCTTTCCTAAGTCACGTATAAATTCTCCTATACAGCTTGGTGCCAATTGCAAAGAAGAGTTCAGGGGACTGCTATTTGAGAACTAATGCACTAATGTATTACTGACCTGGTTTTGCCATACTCTTCCTCACAGCAACTGGGTCTTTCCTCTTCCATTTCTGAAGCTCTTCCTGCATCTTATCAATTTTGGCTGGATTCAGAGCCCACAAACAGCCTTTTCGAGAAGAATTGCCTGACTTGTTTTCAACTTTCTCAAAGCACTTATTCAAAGATAAGTTGTGGCGTACAGAATTCTTCCAGCCATCTGGAGCTGTCTGGAAAAACAAATCCAATCTAAGAATGGAACTTCAAGAAAAAAAAAAACAAAACAAAAACAACAAATATATTTCTCTGTTTGACTGGTGAGATTATATGAAATGCTGTTTAGATTATACCTTCTACAATATGAAACTTGTACGTTAGAAGGAAGCCACAAAAATGTTACAGTCATGTTGTGTGGGAAGAGAGGAATCAGATAAAATAGTAACTGATCTTTTAAGCAAGAAGGTTGGCCTTGTCAGAGGGGCTGCTGGATTTTTAAGAGTGAATTTTCAAATTACAAAAATTGTGTGAAGAATTATATTCGAGAACTGTGAACTAAGAGGAAATCTATCTTAATCTATTTTGGAATACCTAGAAAAATTTCAAACACTTAATTGAAGGACTGTGTGCTACTTGGACTCAAATTAAGTGTCCAGGCAGACTTCAAAAGAATTTTAGCATGCTCCTGTAGGTGTAACTTTGTATGCTAGCCAATTATATAACCAAATGGTTTAATCACAAGCCCTACAGATGAGATACAGGTTTCTACATCTGATCACTGCATCTTTTTGCTTTGCATTTATTTTTGACTCAGTAGTGGAAGCTGGAAGGTTCTTTAAACTGAACAATACATATAAGCTTCATTAAATGATTTCTCTATTTTTATTTAGGCTGTTTCTGATCAAAGGGAAACAAAATTCCCTCCTTTCCCTGAGGACAGTTTTGCATTCAACTTTAAGAATGGAAAGAAAAGAAAACCTAGTGCAAACCTTCTGTTTATACAATTTAATTTTTACAATATTTTTTTTTCCTGATTGCTTGTAAAAGAACTTTGAAAATGAATATTGCTGTACAGGCTAAAGAGAGAAATACCCAGCAAAACAGTCATGCTCAGATTCTGATGGGAAATGCCTGTTTGATGCCTAATCTGAAATACTGATCTTGAAGAAATGGCATTGCATCCTCTTATTGCATATAAGTTTTTCTGGTGTTTGTTTATTTGGTTTCACTGATTTCTGCTTATTTGGTTATGCAGCCAGAAGATACTGCTAATCACATTAAGCCTTTGTAAATTTAGTATGCGCATTCATATCAGAAGATTCCAATAGTAAATTCCTGATGTGTCACTTCCTTGCATTTCTTTTGGTAGGTATTTTGTATGATGCTATTTGTTGCATATCTGAGTAGAACTGTCTTAGCTCATTGCCACTGCACTATAATTTTGAAAGTAAATAGGAAGCAGGAAAAATGACTTGCTACATAATGGTAGGAATCAACCTGAGAAACCCAACTTCATTGTAATAGATGCAACTGCTAGTCCAGCTAGACTTCCCCTGTCATTGTAAGGTCATTTAAAAAAATTAAAATTGTAGCTATACCTATGTCAGTCAAATGTTATTCTTTCTAAAAGGTCTGCATCTGCAGAGGTGAGAAATCTCAGAGACACTTTTGAGTTTATTGGATTACAAAGAATGATCCTCAGTACTAATGTATGTGAGGCCTTTTCTCTTTATTTTTTTAATCAATTTTACATGCTTTCCCTTTTCTTGTTTCCAAAATTCCTCATCTGTGTGTCATAAAAACTGAAAGAAATTAAACAACTCTCTGAAAGGTGGGTGAAGTTGTCTGTGTGCCACTATTGATGGATATTCATGGATGCAAAATGTTTGTTGTCATAATTGTTTATATCAACCACAGAGAATTACTGAACAGAAAACAAGAAATAAGTATGATCTTCCATAGGCTTTTTAAAGAAGATAAAGATTAAAATTTGTTTTATGTGTATTAAGTTTCCTTTCTATTCTTATGCTTTATTAATAGGGATCCTTCTCCCACAGAAAGCCAGCTTTTTGATAGTTTCTTTAATTGCTACCTAGTGTAAGAGATTTCCTCTGAGACCATCATTTATAAATAGACTTGTGTTCATTTTTGCTTTCACATGATACAGCATGAATTTTTTAACATACTTTCACAGAAATTCTACTTTTATCAGGAATGTAAAATCTGTTCTTTCCTAGCTTGTGAAGGACTACCTTATGGGTTAAGGTATTGAAAGCCTTACTGAAGAATTTGAGGGTCAGATTTAATACTTGCTTTTTTCATTTAAAAAATATTGAATTGTGGAAGTTAAATACATGTTATTTACTAAAACAGAAACTATTTTCCCTTCATAGCAGCACAGTTTCTACCCTTTTGGCCCACCTGATGTCAGCATTTCACTATTCTCTTAGCCAGTCTCCTAGATGAGACAACATGCATTTCTATTTAAAAAAGCAAAGCAAAACAACAAAAAACCCCTTTAAATCTCTTTCTGCTATAGGGTAATACTGAAGATGATGAGTCAGTTTTTCTCCCTTGCAGATCATAGTCAAGTTGCTTTCTGGCAGTTCTGAAAGTAAATAAAACTGTTCCTCCCAAGGTAAGATGTGTGCTTAGCTACTCAATACCTGAAAGAATATTCATGTTTCTTGCCCTGTACATGAGGCTACATATACCTCTGTCTGTATCTAGACGGGATAATTAGTGTTTCTGCTAAGCACCACAGAAGATGGGAGTGGCATGTGTTTCTCAGAGGTTTTCAGAATGTGTGGGGGTGTAAACTGTGAGATAGTTTTAGAAACATAAGAGCAAAAAGTACACGGATTTATTCTGGAGCCTGCTGCCAGGAGTGGAACAGGTTCTTGCATTAAACTTGGTATTGCTAGGCAGCAAAAAATAGTCATTTACTGAGGCAGGCCCTGAAGGAGCACTTGGGCAGTGTGTTCATGTTACAGCTCTGTCACCAGTTTTTTAAGTTACATTCGACTGTTAATGAACCGAGCTTTGGCTGCTGAAGTTGCTCTTGTGTAGTTGGAATTTCTTTGCCATGGCTTGTTTTTGCCATAGCTACATTCAGCGTGGAGTGGATGAAGCTGTGTTGAGTTGGACAGTGCAAGAGAATACTTGCTGGTCTAAGTTCCATCACACCACAGACCTTTCTAACCTCTTGGACCACTGGCAATAACTCCAATTAAGAAGATTAAAGCCTTCTGTTAGACTCACTAATCACTACAAAGAAAAAAAAGGATGACAAGCAAAAAATATTATTGTACAGACCCATTGATCCTGACCGCCTCTTGAAGTTTAAAGAGTTCAGTGATCTTGCAAAACCCTTTCTCTTTAAATCTAGGTCTCAAGAGAAGGGAGAGGTACATCAAAGAGTAATTCAACTTTAGCTGCGTAGATGTTTTTTTTAGGACGTAGGAGTTGGATTGCTCTGTTTCAACTAGAAATGAGATTGTTGCATCATAGAAACTAAATTTGCTGTGGCAGCGAATACAAGTTAATTTGACTAGGCTTGTATCATCTAATGTCTCCCAGCAAGATTCTGTGTACGCTTGTACTCTGTTTCTCTCCAGCTTAAATTGCTTCCCCTCCCCCTGTTTTATCCTGCTATTTAGTGAGTTCTGGTAGCAACAACAAGATGTTCTTTGCTGGTTTTTATATTAGTTCATCTTGCTGAAGACTCTTCAAAAAAAGGAGGATAGAGGATACCAGCTTTTGCCATATATTGATAATTCTGTGGGCTGCTGTAATGACCAGAGGTAGACAGGGTGTAGTGCCCGTAAGCATAATATTTGCTTGCTTATTTTAAGGATGTTTGAGGTGGAACTGTTCAATCATTTGACAGTATTTGTATGTAAAATGCAAAAATAAAGCCATCACAAAATAGTGAATGTTCCAGTAGCAGCCCCTGTACCATTCTTTTCCTATAATGCGTATGACAGCAGTAACCTCATTCTCATCGATTTTTAAATGAATTAACAAAAAGACATGAGGATCTGCGAAAAAAAACAACCCACCACCAAACCCACTACCTGAGGAACAGGGAAGTTTTGATAAGAAGGGAAAAATTTAGATTGGGTATAGAACAGTTATTTAAAGCTGTGGTAGAAAGGCACCTACTGTACAGATGAGTGTATGTATACACACATCTGTATCTATACCCACAGCTGTATGAACACACACTTACCTATACACATCTACACACAAAATCTTGCAATAGACACAATATACAATATTTACACACAATAGATAGTTGAGGAAAAGATGTGTATCTCCCTAATATTTATGCTGTGTCAGAATAACTTCAGGACCAGGAAGGTGACACCTGGCAGAGCCACAGTCTTGGGTCTGAGGAATTCTGTGCACATTGGCAGCAGCAGCATTTGGTTTGCAAGCTGCTGATTAATTTTGTAATTGATTGTGTTGTCAGACAAAGGAGAATTAATTTGTTTGGTATGATGAATAAACGTGCACATGCCTATAAAACTTATTTTTAATATTCTCACAGCTCTGCTTGAAAATCATGCTATTTTTCTAGAAAATAGTAATCAGATAAAAATCTATTACTTTGTTGTAGATCACATGATTTGTGCACTACACTAAGAAGTGTAGTTCTATAAAATATCAATTTTAACATGTTGTGTCCCAGGACCTTTTTTTCACAATCCTCAAACTGTTTTCCTTTGGATTAATAATATTTCTTGCAATTAGCGGTAAATGCCTAGAAAACAGTTAATTTTCTGTGAGGGACAAAATACAACTCTTGATATTTATTCTTGTTTTGAAAATGAAAAAAAAAAAATGACAGCTTCTATGTTCTTGTCATGTGCCATCTTACCCTTCTTCCTTTCCCTACTGTCATTACTTAATTTAATGTATGTTTAGCCTAAAAACCAGTTGTGTCCCTGTATTTTAACAAAGTTAGAGTGCTTCAGATTTGTTTCAGTGGATTATGACCTGTCATGTTGTGATGCGATACTTATTGAATTATGATGATAGGTTTCTTTCTTTTTTGTCTCCCTTCCCTTGCTTGTAACAAATAATAGAGTAGCTAGTGATTCCTTTGGGAGGAAATCTGTGAATACAGATGTTTAATGGATCCTAACAGTTCTTCCTTCATGTT